AAAGAGTCCAGAGGAGAGTGACAAAAATTATAAAAGCTTTAGGAAACCCGAGCTATGAGGAAAGGTTAAAAAAACTGGGCATGTTTACTCTTGAGAAAAGACTGAGGCGGGACCTGATAGTCTTTCGATATCTTAAGGGCTGTTATAAAGAGAATGATGATCAATCGTTCTCCAGGTCCACTGAAGTTAGGACGAGAAGTAATGGGCTTAATCTGCAGCAAGGGAGATTTAGACTTGATATTAGGAAAAACCTTCTAACTCTAAGGATAGTCAAACTCTGAAATTGGCTTCCAAGGGAGGTTGTGGAATCCCCGTCACTGGAAGTTTTTAAGAACAGGCTGGACAAACATCTGTCTGGGATGACCTAGGTTTACTTGGTTCTGCCTCCGCACAGGGGGCTGGACTTGATGGCCTCTCGAGGTCCCTTCCAGCCCAACATTTCTATGATTCTTTTGTTGGGGAGATCAAAGTGAACTGGTTAGTGGGACTCAATTCCCAGCAGACAGGCGTCCACACAATCAAAACTGGCCACCATCAGAAGTGGCAATTGTTTGGCAATCCCAGGATAGTGATTGACAGGCCATGGAAAAGGGACTTATCCCTTACCTCACAGGAAGCCTCTCCAGGGCAGGGGAGAGGCACTTGGGCAAGGTGTGTCAGTGTGCAGTGCTGATTCCTGTGTTTTGGGCATAGATTGAGGACTTCACTCTCTAGTTAGGTTTCAGAGTAACAGCCGTGTTAGTCTGTATTCGCAAAAAGAAAAGGAGTACTTGTGGCACCTTAGAGACTAACCAATTTATTTGAGCATGAGCTTTCGTGAGCTGTAGCTCACGAAAGCTCATGCTCAAATAAATTGGTTAGTCTCTAAGGTGCCACAAGTACTCCTTTTCTTTTTACTCTCTAGTCAGTTCATTATTAAGATCCCAGCAGAAAGGAAAACACTTCTCTTCTGATTTGTTGATGCTCAGCATCCCAGATGTACCACATGGCTCCAGTACTGTATCCCACAAATAGAGCACTTAGTTCTTTAGTTACAGCATATCAATCTCCCATTCCTGTGTTGGCTGGTCTAGGACAAGTTTTCAGAGCAGCCTGAACCTGACCTCTAACTTTTATGATATCCAAAATCACATCCCCACATTTTTGACCACCTCGTTTTGGGTGACCACGTTTTTACATGCCCCAACATTTGTATTTGCCCTTAGAAATAGTATTCCCCCCCCGCCCCCCAAACTCCTGGAAATTAGTTTGCCTGCTTGGAAGTGGATAGCTGAAGACTGTATCCAAAAAATTAGTTTCCCTTCTCTGTGCTCAAATTGTGGGTGCTCAAACTTAGAAGCAATGACAGAAAATTTGGCTTTATATCTCAGTATTGTATTTATTTTCTCTGAAATACAAGTTGTGAGCAGCCAGCAAGCAGACTTTCCAGAACAGTGGGATATAACAAGAGACGGGCCCAAACCAAAACCACAGATCTGAACCCACACAAATTTTGGATCTGCATCTATCAGAATTTCAACTCTGTGGCTCAGATACATCTACATGCCTAATACTTCTGAAGGCCAAGTAGTGACAGCATGAAAACTGGATTTGTTTTGACACCTGAATAACTAGAGGGACCTACGTCTATAGTTTGCTGTTCCTTACCTTAGAAACAACTTAGCCTATTTATGATATATTTCAGATTTAAGATTTTTTTGTATTCTGACTAAGAATTCTTCACTTACTTTTGGCCTGGAACAGCAGGTTTAATACAGAAAAACTGACAATCAATTTGTTCACAAGAACCCAGATTTTTTGATGCAAAGGGACTTATGGCTGAAGCACAGGATTGGGAGTCTGATGTACATTCTATGCCAGAGACTTCACAGGTGGCCTCTGTGCCTTGGTTTCCCCATCTGTAAAAAGGGATGACACCTATTTCAGTTTTTGGAGATTCTCTGATGTAAAGCATTATCCATTATTTGTGTGATTCATAGGCTAAGGCCGGAAGGGTCCACTGTGATCATTTAGCCTGACCCACTGCTTAACACCGGCCATAGGACTCCCTCAATTAATTCCTTTTCAAACTAGAGAAGATCTTTTCAGAAAAATATCTAATCTTGATTTTAAAATTGCCAGTGATGGAGAATTCACCACAACTCTTGGTAATTTTTTTCCCAATGGTTAATTACTCTCATGGTTAAAATATTGTGCCTTAGTTCTAGTATGAATTTGTCTAGCCTTTGGATCTTGTTTGTTTGCTGGATTGAGAGCCCTTTATCATCAAATTTTTGTTCCTCATAAAGGTACTTATAGGCTGTGATTAAGCCACCCCTTAACCGTCTCTTTGTAAACTAAATAGATTGAGCTCCTTCAGTCTCTCACTATAAGGCATGTTTTCCAAGCCTTTAATTATTCTCGTGGCTCTTCTCTGAACCCTCTCCAATCTATCAACATCCTTGTTGAACTGTTGACATCTGAACCGGACACAGTATTGCAGAAGTGGTCGCCAAATACAGAGGTAATACAACCTTGCTACTCAAAAGTCCTCAGTATGTGCATTATGCTTAACTGCTCATCTAAGCAGTTTGCATGTACACAAGCATTTTCTATGTAAGAACATAAGAATGGCCATACTGCGTCAGACCAATGGTCCATTTAGCCCAGTATCCTGTCTTCCCAAGAGTGGCCAATGCCAGGTGCTACAAGGGGAATGAAAAGAAAAGATAATCATGAAGTGATCTATCCCATGTTGACCATTCACAGCTTCTGGCAAACAGAGGCTAAGGACACCATCCCTGCTCATCTTGGTTAATAGCCACTGATGGACCTATCCTCCACAAACTTATCTAGTTCCTTTTTGAACCCTGTTATAGTCTTGGCCTTCACAACATCCTCTAGCAAGGAGTTCCAGAGGTTGACTGTGTGTTGTGTTAAGAAATACTTTCTTTTGTTTGTTTTAAACCTGCTGCCTATTAATTTCATTTGGTGACCTCTAGTTCTTGTGTTATGAGAAGGAGTAAATAACACTTCCTGATTTACTTTCTCCACACCAGTCATGATTTTATAGACCTCTATCATGTCCCCCTTAGTCGTCTCTTTTCCAAGCTGAAGAGTCCCAGTCTTTTTCATCTCTCCTCATATGGAAGCTGTTCCATACCACTAATCATTTTTTTGCCCTTTTCTGTACCTTTTCCAATTCAAATATATCTTTTTTGAGATGGGGTGACCAGATCTGCATGCAATATTCAATATGTTGGTGTACCATTGATTTATATAGAGGCAATACGATATTTCCTGTCTTATTATCTATCCCTTTCCTGATGATTCTCAAATTCTGTTCTCTTTTCTGATTGCCACTGAGTGGATGTTTTCAAAGAACTATCCACAATGACTCCAAGATCTCTTTCTTGAGTGGTAACAGCTAATTTAGACCCCATCATTTTATAAGTATAATTGGGATTATGTTTTCCAATGTGCATTACTTTACATTTATCCACATTGAATTTCATCTGCCATTTTGTTGCCCAGTCACCCAGTTCTGTGAGATCCCTTTGGAACTCTTTGCAGTCTGCTTTCGATTTAACTATCTTGAGTAGTTTTGTATCATCTGCAAATTTTGTGACCTCACTGTTTACCCCTTTTTCCAGATCACTTATGAATATATTGAATAGGACTGGTCCTAGTACAGAACCCTGGGGGACACCAATATTTACCACTCTCCATTCTGAAAACTGGCCATTTATTCCTATCCTTTGTTTCCTATCTTTTAACTAGTTACTGATCCAGGAGATGACCTTTCCTCTTATCCCATGACAGCTTACTTTGCTTAAGAGCCTTTGGTGAAGGACCTTGTGAAAGGCATTCTGAAAATCTAAGTACGCTATATCCACTGGATCACCCTTGTTGACCCCCTCAAAGAATTCTAGTGGATTGGGGAGGCATGATTTCCCTTTACAAAAACCATGTGGACTCTTCCCCAACAAATGTACATTTGTCAGGTTTCTGAAGTTGTATAAGTTGTGCCCTGCTTTGAAAGTGTGTTATTTAAAAATCCAAGTCTCTACAAAATTAATTCTCTCCATATCTCATAAGAATTCCATAGATTATCCTTTCCAGTATTTTCAAGTATTATGGTGCCCTGTTGAGAGAACAAATGATATCTACACATTTGGATGTTGAAGGACATCTCTAGTGAGTGTAGAAAACTCATTTGTCTGGTACTGCTGAATGAGGAGTTAGATAGATGATTGTTTTGACATATGTGGGTTCTAGCAGCGAAGAGGAAAAGCAGGAAATCATAATAACCACAATGTACATCTTGGGTCAAATTTAGAAGGCAAAGCTCCCACAGGACTTCAGCTTGGAACTTTATTAATAAGTTTCATCTACTTCTATAGAAGTAATTCAGAACACTGCAGTAACATTATTATAAGATGTATTCTTGAGCCCCATTAATGTAGAATCTTCCCTCCCATCCAAAAGCAAGTTGAAGATTTGGTGATAATAGTTTAATGCATTGCGTATGCCTGTGGTTTGAGGTCATAAAACTAGAAATACTGGGATGAAGTGTAAGTTGCAGATTCATATTAAGAAAAATGCCTTAATGGCTATATCTGTTAGGTTTCAGAATAGGCTCTGAATAATTTGGTGGAAACCCTATAGTGGACAGAGCACTGGACTGGAACTCAGGAGACTTGGGTTTATTTCCTGGCTTCAGCACTAGCCTGCTGGGTGACCTTGGGCAAGTCACATCACCTCTCTGTGCCTCAGTTTCTCCAACTGTAAAATGGGTATAGTGATACTGACCTACTTTAAAAAGGGCTTTGAGATCTGTGAATGAAAAGCACCATTTAAGAGCTAGTTATTTGCATTAAACTAGATTGGGCGGCGCATTTCAGCATTGTGAAGAAGGGAAAAATCCCACTGTAGAAGGAGCAGTTAGATGGACTAAGTAATCTTAAAATCAACTTATTGCAAATAAAGACAAGTGCATCAGCACTAGAGACTCATACTACCTTGGGCATTGGAAACTCGCAAGCCCCAGCACAGTAATATGCATCGAATGACTTGGGAGATATGATCCATTCATTCCAGCCAATGTCGGCAAAGTCCACTTTCATGTATCTTCTAGAGCAAATCCTGGGCTCGTTCCACTGTTTTCGTCTGGCTTTCTTCATGGTTTTCTCATCAAAATGTAGCATCTGAGATTTTGAGAGCAGCTCTGTGTTTTCTTGCCCTTTCCTCCTTCGGTCCTTGCGTGAGGTTTTGGGTTTTAGGGACTTGTAGGCACTTTCCCATATGTCATGTTTGTTGTATTTGTTGTTGTTATACTCCACCTCTGGCAGCTCGTTGTTCTGGATAGAGCTGGAAAGAAATATGTCCCTCCTCACCCGGGTGTCTGTGGAAGCATTGGGGGATAGGCTGGTTTCCCCATCGCTGGAAGGGAATGGATCATATCGCTGTAGAGTCACGGCCACACTGTTGGGTTCTGATATGGCCAGGTCATTAGCATAAACCAGTATGTATGGTAAGTGATTGGTTTGCTGTTTGGGGAAGCCCTGGTATTTCTCTCCAGAGTCAAGCTCCGCACAAAGGACGAGCTCACCATCCCGTTTGGATTCCTTTATGATGTGGGAGATGTCCTTCATCTGCCAAGCCCCCCGCCTGTGGAGGAACACTGTGACATTCCCTTTCACCAGCCCATAGGCGGAGTTCTGGAGAATGCTTCGGAAAACGAGGCTGAGCCGTGGGATCTGGGGCAAGTGGAGGAGGCGGCAGGATGAGTTCTTGGAGCGCTTGCAGAACGCTTCCCGGTGCCGGGGGCGCTTGTCTGAGTAAGAGTGGAATGTGGCAGTGAGGATCAACTCTGAGTCCTGCATGGACGTTAGATTGAAGCAGTACAGGGGCTTCTGGTCCAATAGCTCTGCAAGAGAGTGAAGAGAGACCAACAGATCAACATTCAGGGGACAATATATAATTAACCATGAATGCGAAGTGTCGCTAAATAGTTGGGCTTACAGACCCAATGCTCTTCTCATGTACCCCACTGTAGGCCAAGAGTGACTGGGCTCAATGGAGTTACACCAGCTTAAAACCAAGCTAAGTGAGAGGAGACTCAAAGCACCTAGAGACCCCAACAAGGTCAGTGCCCCAGTGTGCTAGCCTCTGTGTAAACACACAGGACTCCCTGCTCCAAAAGAGTTTATAGTCTAGGCAGAGAAAAGAAAGATGATCATCCCTGCTATATAGATGGAGAACAGAGACATAGGGAAATTAAGTGACTTGCCCAAGGTCACACAGGGAGTGTGTGGCAAAGATGGGAACTGAATCCAGACCTTTTGTATTCCGGCCTACTGCCTTAACCGAAAGACTAGCCTTCCTCCCAGTTCCTTCTGCGCTTCCTCATTCCTATTCCTTCCCTACCTTGCTCTCTTTGCTACATCCCTCCCACAGGTCCTCTCCCCCATCCTGAGAGAAGGAACAGCCTTGAATCCAACAAGCCCAGAGCTCAGGAAGCCAGCACCCAGGATTTGCTTTCAGCCTATATACACATATGCACACCCAAAGGTCATTCTGCTGCTGTGTAACCATCTTCCCATTGGCTGGGACAAAGCAGCCACGCCCCCATGACAGTTACCCCTCCCCTTGTGCATTGTGCTGGAGCCAAGCAGGTTCCTCCCAGTCACCAGGGACTCTGATGCTGGCACTGACAGCAGCGAGACAGTATCTCCTGTGCTCATAATGCATCCTCTATGAGTGCCCAGCTAGCACGGAGAAGGAGGAACTGACCTGACTGTTGCGTGCAGAGTGGCATAGTGCAGAGGTTCTCAAAGTGGGTGGCATGCCCCCCCAGTGGGTATGGAATGTATTCTGGTGGAAACGCGAAAAGCGTTACGAAAAAAATTTACTGTGCACATTCAGAGCTGGGCGGCTGGAGAGCAGCGGCTGCTAGCCAGGCCCTCAGCTCTGAAGGCAACGCTGCCATCAGCAGCAGCAGAGAAGTAAGGGTTCCAATGCCATACCAGAGCTTGGTGCCCAGCTAACAGCCGACGCTCTCCACTCTGCCTTCAGAGCTGGGCGAACAGAGAGTGGTGGGTGCTGGCTGGGCATCCAAGGAGGGCACAAGATACTACAGACACAAAGAAGGGGGCACGATCAAATAAGTTTGAGAACCACTGGCATAGTGGACAGAGCAGTGGCCTGGGACTCAGGTAACCTGGGTTCTACTCCTAGCTCTGCCACTGTCCTGCTGGGTGACCATGGACAAGTCACTTCATCTCTCTGTGCCTCAGTTTAACCACCTGTTAAATGAGAACAAGGATCCTGCTCTGCTTTGCAAAGTGCTTTGAGATCTATGTGTGAAGAATGCTAGGTAGAGCTGGGTATTAATGCAGTGAGGACAGGGCAGACTAACAGGATGGGGCACAAGGGAGGGGAAGTGCAAAGCAGAGACAGGATGGGGTGGCTGCTTCAAGCTCTCCCATCCCACCCTTTGACCTTCCTCATGCTCTCCTGCTCCTTCCCCCATCTGGCCTAGAGGCCCTCTGGTTCCCAATAGCTGCCCTCAGCCATCCCTGGCTTTGTCACCACTGCTTCTGCTAGGTGAAAGGTTCCAGTCTCCCTGGACGCCCTTCCCTCTGCTCTGGGTACCGGTGCAAAGAAGAAGGGACTATTTGTCTCGGATGAGGAAAGTCCCATGGAGCTCTGAGACTGAGGTAATAGAGATGCTTCTAACTGGAGATGGGCCAGAACCAGCCTGAGTGAGATTTGGGGATACTTAGGTTGGGAGCCAGTTCCAAGCTTTGGGGCTTGCCCATGGCTACTAGTTGGGTAGTTCATAGGCCATGTGTACCTTAGAGGATCTCCAGTTATGTGGCACTAAGGAGGAGCCACCAGAGAGTCAACCCAACAGGGAGGGAGGGTTTCTGGCTGCTAGGAAGTGGGGCTAGCTGGGATTTTTGCCCTATGTGAGTTCTAGCAACTCTGCCTCCCCTTACCAGGCAACTCGTCTGCCTGTCTGCTTCCCCCTTGCCCCAGTGCCAGTTCCCAACAGGAAACAAGCAGAGCCCTCCTTAGGAGGAATAGGTATAGCTCAGTGGGGCAGGGCTGTGGCGGCCACAACAGGTGGGGCAGCAGCACAAGGCTACCAGCTTCATTGCAGGAGAGGCCTGTCTGTACTCCAGCTTCTTTGCAGATGAGGGCCAAGGCAGCAAGAGGGAGTCAGAGGTGAGAGATGCAAGGGGGAAAAGAGGCCAGTGAGAACAGATCGGAGGTGTGTAACCCTAGAACACTCAGTCCTAGGGGTATAAGGATGTGGAGGTTCTAACCCTCCCCCCCATTCCCACCCTCCCACTTCTGCAGAGAAAGTAATCTACTGATCCAGAGTGTAGGACTGGGAATCAGGAGATATGGGTTCTACTCCAACACAGGGTTCAGGCAGGTTTGTACTCGACGTGGCTAAGCTGTGCTTCCCCAGCGACGCTATTTATACACATACTAGCTCTCATTGGGCTAGCACGGGTATGTGTACGTGGGCTGGGGAATCACACTCCTAACTTGTAGCCTAAGTCACTTATATTCCTTGCCTTAGCTTCCCTATCTCTGTAATAGAGATGAGTGCTTACCTACTTCCCAGGACTTAATACTTAGCTCTTATATAGCTCTTCTTATTCACTGATCGGAAGGCACTTTACACAAGTGATGGGTAAAACTACTCCTGTTTGACAGAGGGGAGAATAGAGGCAGAGAGAAGGGAAGTGAGTTGGTCACAGTCACACAGTAGCTCAAGAGCTGAGACTAGTAGCCAGGTTCTACTCACAGTCCAGTTCGATATCTGCTAGACTCTGCTGCAACTGTTTACAAAATGCCTTCATAGCTGCAGGTACACACACAGAACTTCAGTGCAATATAGTTTCATACCCCATCACCCCCTTTCTCCACCCCCCAACTACTAGGGATATGGACATGAAACCAGGGCTCTGCTAATTCTTCCCCACCAGAAACTAATTCATAATCACACCAATCAAGCACACAGCTGGTGCTGAAGAGATGTTGGACGTCCTTCTGCAGTGGCCAAGTAGTAGCAAGAGACCCAGGTGAAATGGATTGGGGAGGTAAAGGCCCCTCAACAGCTTTAGCTAGTGTGGAATGAAGCTGCTAGACTGTTAACCAGGCCAGACTGATCACAGTGTTGGCTGCCAGTTCATTTCCTATTGAAGTTATCTGGGACCCAGTTATTTTCTGAGGCTACCTTTCCCCTTCTGCCCCATCCTAGCAGTTATGGTCAATGGGGAACATCAGTTGCTGATTCCCAGCGGAACTCACTATCGGGGGTAAGGTGCCATCGGCCACATGCACACACCGTAGTGCTTATGTCTGCTTTACATGCACAAGGTTCTGGATTTGAGTCCCAGTGGGACCAGCTGATCCAAAGAGCCACCAGTTGCAGTACAGAATGGAAGATACACCTTCATCCAGGCCTTCTTGTAAGTATGCAAATCAACTGGTAATTAATATGACTATTTCCAGGGACTAATCAGACAGGAGATTAAGGAAGATGCAATGTAGAATATGGGAGGGTGTGGAATATTGCTCACTGTTTTGGGAGGGCAGTTGACAACAGAAAACACATCTGAGGTTTCCAGAGTATTTTAGATAGGAACTAAGACTAATATTCCTATAAGTCAGGTAGTATGTTTCCCTATTTTACAAATACATTCTCTCATTTCTATTTCTCTATTTAAGACCAATGTTTTCAAACTTGGGTGTTTGATTTTCAGAGGTGCTGAGTACCCACAGCTCCTGTTGTCTTCACCTGGGACAGTGGGAACTCATCATATCTGTAAATGAGGTACTTCTACATTTAGGAACCTAAAATAGATGTAAATCTCTAACCTTTGAAGATTTTCACCTATAAAGCTTGTCTGAGGTCACCCACCAAACCTATGGCACAGTGGGACTTCTAATCCTATACTTTAGCCAGTAGACCATGCTTCCTCCCTGTATGCAGCATTTGGGGGTCTAGTTTAATGCACAGGGGAAAATATACTTTGTTTTGGCACATATGTCCAAGTTCTGGTCCTACTGTAGTCAGTGGCAAGACTCCTATTACACAGGATTTGATCCTTAGGATTCAAACCTGACTCTTAACCTCTAAGCATTGCAATATTCTGCATGCAAAATACCTGTGTAATTAGCACTTGTACCGTGTGCTGTTATTCCGTGGAGCAAGTAGCTATTCAAACCATCCCCTGAATTGTCCCATAAGGTACAGTTTATTCAAGTTTTAGAGGGCCGTTTGAAAACGGCACCAGAATCAGCAGACCGTGCCCTCAATCTGTTATATATCAAAACAAAATCTTGGTGTTTTTATTTCTGTGACACAGCCGTAAGGGCATTCCAGGCTCAAAAGAGTGGTAGCTTCCCTTCTAATTTATCCATAGCCCTAGGTGTAAAGCATTTACATATTTCAAGAGCTGCATGGATCTGAAAGGTATAAACACCACAGGGAAAGTCTGTCCTTGGAGTCCCATAGCATAGGGTTCCCACTGAAGACAATGGAAACCAAGGACACAGCTAGCTGACAACAGAATATAGCACGCCAAGGAGGGCAAGAATTAGGATGATCTAGGGTAATATAAATAAAAGTAGCAGGATGAAAACAAGCACAGGAAAGCTTAGATTGGTTGTTAATCGTTAGATCCGTTAGGCTATGGAATAGCCTCAAGCAGTCCAGCTTCTACTCTGTTCTCCTGGAAAAATTTAAGACTGGGCATTACACTGGAGAATGTCTTGTAGGGTACAATGCCATATGTCTTGGGGTAGGGTTGATGGAGTAAACTCCCTAATCGGTTTATTTCCATCTGATGTCTCTGGTGCTATGTACAGCAAAATGAATACTTTTACCTGCTAAACTCAACTTTTTACTTGCTCCAAGAACACATGGCATCCCCTAAAAACACCATCATCAGTCTTACAATAGTCTCTGAAGTAGTGGGTCATTTGCCCCCTTATCATATTGACATCTACCTTGACATCAGTTGGCCGGGCTGAAAAACAGGCCTTCAATTGATATTGTTGATGTTAGCTAGCCAAAGCATCTCCGCTGTTCTTCACACTTTAATATAGGCATCTAATCAGCAGTAGCATCTGGATGCCTAAACCAACCTCAGAGCCCCATTGTGCTGAGTGTGGTGCACACACAGTAAAAAACAGTCTCTGCCCCAAAGAACTTACAGTTGAAAGAGACCAAGGAAGAAGTATTAGCCCTATTGTATAGAAGGGGGATGGAGGCATGGAGAAGCTAAGTGACTTGCTTAAGGTTACACAGGAAATCTGTGGCAGAGCCAGGAACTGAACCTGGACCTCCCAAGTTTCAGCCCAGTGCCTTAAAGAAGTCCAAAGGCTACAGTGCTTCAAGCAGAGATGGCTGGAAAAGGGAATTTCCATTTAGCTGGAAATTCCACAGTTGTGACACTTCGTTCCAAGGCAACACAAGACACTGACATTGTGGAATTTCCATTGAAATGGGATGATCCAATGACATGAGACAATCCACTTTTGTGTTGGCTTACCAGGTGACATACCTGCAGCCAGCCAGCTTACCTGCCCTGCCCATCTGCCAGGCTGGAAATGAGGCTGGCTGGTTTCTTTTGAACCTGTTGACAGAATTGACACATTCCCACAGAACATTTCAATTCTGTTTGTGACCCTAAGAATCTGTCAAAATGCCACCTGACAAAAGGGTTCATTGTTCTGTAACAGTAGCTCCTGAGAGGCCTGATGAACTCACTACACCCAACACATTGCTTTTATAGTATTTATCCAAAGATCCCCGAGAAAGTGTCATGCTGTTGAATCAGCATTTATCCAAAGATCCCCGAGAAAGTGTCACGCTGTTGAATCAGCATTTTCCGAAAGAGCAGTTTTCCCACTGGAAAATTTTCAGCCAGCTCCAGTCTCAAGGGTTAAGTCTAGTCATACAATCACAAGGTGAAGTCTAGTGACAGGTAGCCCTCCAAAGGGTCAGCATTCAGGTTTGATTTGGGTAGCCCCAGTTTATTCAAGCCTCTGGAGACTGGGAAAGTGGGGCTAGACATATCAACAAGCTTTCCCATACCAACTACCATGAGCAGAAGCAGAAACAGCCTCTTAGCACTTCCATGTCCTGCTGGACACCAGGCGTGGCCACTGCTCCAGTCAGGAAAGCATGGAAAAAAGTGTCTCTCTGTGATGACATAGCCATTGTTTTGGCAATATAGAGGTCCATGGTCCAGATGAAGGAGTCCGGCTGTTCAGCAGACACTCCACTAGGGGACTCCAAAGCAGTTGCATGACTTCAGACTAGAGCTAGGCTGCATTTTGAGGAGGATTTCAACATTTCAAAATTTGGTTTCATTCCAATTCAGAACAAAAAGTCCAAAATTTTGATGTTCTCCACAAAATGGAATGGGACCCTGGAAGAGCCATGTGGGCAAAGTGGCAGGAGACCAAGTTGCCTGTGCCTTTATTAAGCTCTCTTTGTGCATGTGCATTATGATGCAATCTTTAAGTACATGATTGCATTGCTATTCCCACATCTGCATGACCCCTGTCTTATTCAGTGCATAAGATGGAGGTATTCAGGGAGTGAGTCGGGGTTGTGTAGCAAAGGAGGCTGGTCTGTGTTGGAGCCCTGCTTTGTTTGTTCACGAAGTTGGGAAGCGTGTAGTAATGAGACATGAATGGAAAGGACAGTCTCGTGGTTTAGACACGCTTGAATACTGCCCAGGAGAACTGAATTCTGTCTGCTGCAAAAGCATAGGTGATTCTCAGCGAGTCACAGGTGGTCATAAATTGTGCGTCCGGCTTTCTGGATGCCTAGTGGGAAACATCTGGGGCCAGATTTGCAGAACTGCTGAGCACTCACGACTGCAGCTGAAGCCGTTTGGCGCTGTGCTTTGAACATATGGAGTTCTGAGTGCTTGGAAACAAAAATCAAGCCTGGGGAGTCTCAGATTGGGAGCCCGAAGTGAGCGGATACTTTTGCCAATTTGGGCCTTAATATGTTTGCCTCACATCCCCATTTGGAACATAGGGTTGGTGCCTCCCGGTTGTCCAACACCCCTGTGTGGTAATGCCATTGCTCTTTGTGCAGCACTCTTATTACAGCAAGGAGCACTACAGATGAGCCCACGAGGAAGTTAACTTGGTATTCGGTGCAAAGTTTAGATGGTGTGTAGCAAATAGGGCACAGAGCTACATTTGAATGAGGAAGATGAGAAATATTGAATCACTACTCAGTCAGTGAGCACCATCCATGCTATGCAGTGAATGAGGCAGGGATCCGGTGGAGGAAAACATTAGTAAGTGATCTTGTCATTAAAGACAGTCTCATAATGTATATGTACGAGGGGGACAAATTAAGATCACATGGGCAACCCTAATTCTGGCATTTCTTAACTTCAGAGTGCTTGATCCAACTGTCTTTTAAATATGTAATATGATATATCCTAATGCAAACAGCCTTATGTTACAGCGGACCATATGAATCTTAGGAAGGGTGTACCCAAGAATTTTTTTTTAACCTAGAGCTATCACTGGAAGAGGGAAATGAACAGATTTTATAGCTGCCACATTGTTTTGCCTATCACAGTAAAGGGTTGCCATAGATGTGATCTGAACAGAAATTTCATGTATGTTGCTAAAAGAAAGTGATGCTTCCCTGCCCCACAAATTTCCCCTCTTCCAAGAACTCTGGAATAGCATGAGGGAAAGGAAGGGAAAATCAGATCATTTCTCCCATATTGGTCTTGGGCACCCTTATAGTTAATCTCAAAAAATAGTAATCCATATTTTGTAAATTACCAGGGACAATAATGAGAAAAGAATGTTATTTCCTTAATAACTCAGCCACAAGGGGCCTGGTGGAGGGGCTTTCCTCTTTCAGGCTGCTGAAGAAAGGAGATCTAGTAAAGAAGACACTAGGTTGGGAGTCAGAACACTGGTTTCAGACTTGGCATTGCAGTTTACTCACTGTATGAGTCTGGGCAAGTTACTTCCAATGTTCTGTACCTCAGCTGGACTATCAATAAGATGGATATAAAAATACCCGCCTTTGTGAAGTTATGTTGATCTGTGAGACTGTGGGTAAGAAATGTTCCTACTTAAATGCTAAGTACTATTACATTTCAATAAATGGTATGTGTGTGTGTTTTAAAATAAACTCAGCCACCCAAGTCTATTAGAGTTACTTTAAAAACAAGATTAACCAGAGTATGAGTAAGATTACATCATAGGAAAGAAGGAATTGGCTTAACAGATCAGACCAGTGGTCCAGGACCCTGTCTCAGGCAGTAGCCAGTATTAACTGCTTCACTGGAAAGTGCAAGAAATGCTGTAGTAGGACGCTAGGGAATCATCTGCCATTGGGGAAGTTTCTTCCTAGGCCCTGTCAGTAAATGGTTGGCTAATGCTCTGATACAGGAGGGTTCATCTCCCTTCCAAATGTCTGGGGTTTTTAATAAAACTCTAGAAGTGCACATTTAACCTTACATGAATTCAGCTGAGCATCAGCTCTGTGCAGAAAATGTTGTTCATTTTAAATGACATTTTACAGATACTTACAATGCTGAAAAGTAAGTTAACATGCATTTTTATAGCGATGACTTGCTAATAACTGCTTACTATAAAATCTTACATACTGCATTGCACTTCACAGAATGCAAATGTCTTTAAAAACCTAAGAAATCCTGACACAGATTCAAGTTTTGAATGTGCTTATCTAAAACATCCTGAATGCACTAAAATGAAAAGCCTCTTTTGAAGCGAGAAAAATGATACATGTATTGGAATTCCAAAAGGGAGGGGTTTTTTTTATTTTGCTGATCTTTCCTAATTAGTCTAAACAATATCTTAACCCTGTGCTGGAAAAGGTTTCCTAAAGATGCCATTTGCTCAGGCACTAATGTCAGTGATGTAATTTTTTTTTTAACAAAGTGCCAAATAAGCATCAGTCTAAATATTGAACATGGCTTTTCTTCAGTTAAGTGACGGACAGTTTCCTAGATTGATTTATCAAACGCGTTTCAGAATAAAGCGTTTTGGATGCAGCCGGTCTCCTATTGCTACCCTACATCAAAGGAAGACAGATTCCCCCACCCGCTCTGTATCTTTTTAGAGCTAATACTAGGTACCACAGGAAGAGAGTGAGCCGTTAGAGAAAGTCCCATAGGTGGCGCTGTTTCTAACAGCAGCTTCTGGGAGTCTTTGAAAGACTTGGATGCAAAAAAAAAAAAAAAAATCGGTGAAGTTTGCACAGTTGTCATCCTAGTTGGGGACTATTTAATGATCTTAGGAGCGAGGAGACCCCTCTGAACTAGCGGGAGGGCCTCTGGGCAACCGCTTCCCCTGGCTGATAGCTTTCTGCCACGCCAAGGGCTGCTCTCAAAAAGGCGGACAGTAGTTTTTTGGTAAACAAATGCGTACTCTGCCGGCTTCTGGGCACGCAGGAAGACTGGACGTGGCTCCCGGAGCAAAGCGACGGGGCAGCGTAGGTGTTACTGCAGGGAAACGTCCAGCATTGCTTAGGGATAGCTCAATGGTTTGAGCATGGGCCTGCTGAACCCAGGGTTCTGAGTTCAATCCGTGAGGCGGCCATTTAGGGATCTGGGGCAAAAATTGGGGCTTGGTCCTGCTTTGAGCAGGGGGTTGGACTAGATGACCTCCTGAGGTCCCTTCCAACCCTGCCAGTCCAGGATTCAATGATCTAGGCAAGGAAGCCCCCGTCACCGACACTCCGCACAGCTAGGGACAGCTTCGCAGGGGTCCGCCTGCACCGGAGCCGGAGCTCTGCCCACGATCCCGGTGCCCCCCAACCCCGCAGTGCCTCTGACCCCCCTCCCCCCCTCCCAGCACACGCGGATCTCCCCAAGGGGCTTACCCAGCCTGGCTTTGAAGCTGCGCACCGTGTTGCCGTCCCCAGGCCGGCTGCCTTCCCGGCTGTACTTCTCGTAGAGTTTAAGCATGTGGACAGCTACCGCGTCCTGAGCGAGGCTGCCCAGCGCCGGGGAGGGCGAAGAGCCCCCCGGGGGGTCCCTGCTGGGGGAGGCGATGGCCAGGGGAGCCGCTGGGGGCCTGGGCTTGCGGCTGGCACCTTCCTCCTCCGCGGGGAGCGTGTGGCAGCCCCCCTGCCCCAGCGCCCAGAGCAGCAGCCAGCACGCCAGGCGGCCGGCCATCGGGGGGATCCTGCTGCACCGAGACCCGCGGGGAGCTGCGGAGCCGCGCGCCGGCTCGGGGATGCTGCAGCCTGGCTAGCGGCGCCCGCTGGCTGGGGCTCCAGGTTCCCCCTGCTGCAGCCGCTCTCCTGGTGCCCCGGGATGCGGGCTGGGGTGGGGAGGTGGGAGCGACCCCTCCGCGCTGCTGATGCCGAGCCCGCTCGGCCAATCCCCTGGCCCGCGAGGTGAGCAGCGCTGGCACCGGGGCTGGGGGAGGTCGGGCTGGACTGGGGGCACGGGGGGAGGGACACACACCCGGCCATGCGCGGCTCCGAAATTGACTCGCCGGGGGGCGAGGGTTTCCGGGGGCTGGGAAAGTTTGCAGGGAGCGCTACAGTTCGTTCCCTCTGCTTCCAATACAGCGTCTGCGTTAATTCGAGCTCAGCCACTGATGGGAGACACATGTCACAGCCAGGGCTGGGGCCCCAACCTGAACAGGGGAGCACTTTGGGTTCCAGAAAGCCAGGGGAAGGAGGGAGCAGAGATTAGAACAGAATCATCGGAAGACAGCTAGGAGGAAGTCGCCCTAGTAAGCAAGTAGTAGAGAGGGATAGGTAGATAGGAGCAGAAACACACACAAAGCAAGAGGGATACATTGATAGATGACGAAAGAAACAGAGGGATTGTTAGGTTGGATTAAAGCAAAACCGAGCGTGCAATCTCAAAAGGCATTACCCCTTTCTGTTTGCTGCAAGAATGTAGGAGAGGTGAATCAATCAGCTAGCAACTGTTATGTATTCTTGGGAGAGCTAACCTGAGCTGTCCTGCCATGAAACAAGGCTCATTGCTAATTCTGAAGCAGGTATTTAAGTTGCAAGAGGTTGAAGGGGGAGGAAAGGCTTGGAGTTCGAGCACTTGGAAGCATTTCTGAGTGTGATCTGAAGGGGGAAGAGGCTGGAGGGATTTCTGAAGGGTTTACTTGGGCTGGGAATTCAGTTAGGTGTATGTTGCATCATGGCCAATTCGTCATGTGATGCAGGTTTTTCTGAACTACAGGTCATAGCTGCCCAGTGGATATAAATGTAGTTACAGTGAACTGCAGTTTTCAAGTCGATCTGTGAGGAAGAGGGGGTGTATTTGAACTGAATTAGTTCATTCTGCCTCTCTTTTTAAAGCTGTTCCTCCCAAAGCCAAGACAAGTTACTTTTCTTGGAGAGTACACAATGCAATAATTGAAAAAAAATGTTGGAAAAAGCTCCTGTTGCTGTGTATAACACAACCTTTTTGTGATTTTCTAACCTTGGAGTGTCAGATCGGAGCAGATACCATTGAAAGCCTCTGAACCACAAGTTTGTCGTTTTTGGACCGGGGCAAAGAAAGGTTTGATTCATTTTTAAAATTAGCACCAGGCTACAGTTGCTCTACTCCTCTTCCATGTCTGAAGTGAACAATTTGCAAATACAAATTTGCCCAGAGTAAGTTGCTAAAGTATCAAACCTCCCATTAATTAATCGTTGCTTATAAATAATCCAGACCATCCTTTGATGCTTTTTCTGTTTCTCCATGGTAGCATGCTCATGACCTCCACTGGGGGCATGAGCAAACCTTTTGTTGTTTGTAGTTTTTGTCTGTAGTGTTTCTATACAATCAAGGTCCTGTGAAAAGGAGGAAGAGGCAGCAGGAGGTAGGAACAAGCTGGGCTATTTTGGACCAATGTCCTATTAAAATGTTCTCTCTCCCCTTAACTCACTCCAAACTCCTATTCAAGCCTACGCTTTGTATCAGTCTTTAACCTGCACTAAAACCTGTAGGACACTGATACTTTGACATTGTTGGGAAAGAATTAAAGAATCAACCAGGGATGGCTAATATTTCTTGCCTTATTTTATTGCAGAACAGCAGGAATTCAAAGGCTTTAAAGCTCTAGTACTTTGACTCTTTTATGCAGCTGAGATGATGAAATAAAAATGTGTTTGGTAAAGGAATTCAAATTAGCACTGGGTCACATAATTCCCCTGTTCTGAATATGGCCAATCAATGGCATCTCTAAGGCATCTACAGGCAAGAGCTATGCAATTTCTGCTCATGCAGAATAATATTCCTAGCGTGGAAATTTCTGCTAATTAAAGCCCTTGCCAAGTAAAGAGCCTTTTTTTTTAAATAGCTCAAGTCAAAGCTTTGTGAGCAAGGACTTGGGGAAATCTCACAATAGTTAGAACACACATTCAAGATTTTAAACGCAGATCTCTTCCTGTGACAACGAACATGCTGTAAATAATGTTCCACACCATTTAATAACATTCACATATGAAACAGAAAGCAATATTTCTTATGGAACCAGAGACACCTGTACAAAGGAACTGTTATGACCTGGACATGTGCTTTCTCACAGAACATAAATGCAGGAAATATAGGGTGAATCTCCTTTTTGTGGTTCTGAAATAAAGCAGCTTATTAAAGTCTTTTTTTTTGTTTTTAAGAGTCGAAAATCTGTTTTGAAATTCTTTCTTTCAATAATAATGCCAGTAGCCAGGCTAATGAAGGTTAAAACTCCAGGGAAGCTGTTAAAACATGAATCATTACCAAGTTTGGGCTTTAGCCCAAATTTCTGGTTATGACCTAGCCTAGGTCATTCTTTTCTCATGTGCAAAAATATCTTGCTCTGTGTAATGCTGCGTGGTTAGCCAGGATTACCCAGGACCATTCCTTACATCCACAAAATGGTAACTGCAAATTGATTGACTGAAACACTGTGGGCTACGAGTGCTGGTTAGAATGAGTGCTGGTTCTCAGAGATGTGAACAGTGAAACTTCTACAAAGCTTTTTGCATGCAATCCAATGTCAAGAGGGGCAACAAACAGAGCGATGTATAGTGAACAAGAGGGATTTTTTGTTTCTTTGTTTTTTCTGGACAAGAGTTAAAGTATTTTGATACTTGCATATGAAGCAGACAAAGCAGCGGCAGAGTGTTCTAGTGTTCTAGCCCCTAGCAGAATGTGGCCCAGTTTGATTGTGCTCACTAGCTGCTACCATAATATTAGTGTTGTTTAATAACAATAGGGGACTGGGAGGCAGGATTGCTGGTTCTGTTCCCATCTGCTGCTGATTTGCTGTGTGGCCTTGGTAAAGTGTTAGGTTATGCATGAGGACAGACTAGATGGTCAGAGTGGTCCCTTCTGGCTTGTGAATGAAAAATGTTCTGTGCCTTTATCACACCCAGCTGTAACAGGGTGGACTGGCCCCTTAAGGCCAGAGGAGGAAAGCTGAGAGGCCAGGCTGTCCTGTTCCAGGAATTCAGGAGTAGACATGAGCTTAGAAAATGACAGAGGCAGGTGCTAGGAGAGAGGAAGTGGTCCTGGGGTGATATTAGCATCTGGGAAAATCCAAGCTACTGTTTCTTTAAGCAGGTGGGACCCTTTGTAGCGTAGGGTGGGACAAGGCTCCCCTTTTAGCCAATCAGGATAAGCTCTGGTAAAGTGGGCTGCATATAACAGGCCTCCTCCCATATAGGGAAGGACGGCTTCTGTTGATCAGCCCTAGCCCAGGAGAGAAAGGGCTGACGTGGTGAGATCAGGGCTCCAAGTCAGGGAGGAAGGCTAAAGGCTGAGCCCCAGCACAGACAGATGGCAGGAAGGGGCTTCAGTTGGGAAGGTTTTGTTCTGTTCTGTTTGGTTTTGAAAGACTTTGTTGCCAGCCTGGGTGGAAGTGACTGAGGGTAGTTTAAAGCGTCCAGCTGGGAGAAGGGCTGCAGCCTGCTACACCAACTATAAAATGGCTCTGATGGTCCCTGCCTACCTGCAGCTTAATTAACGTGTTTGCAGTGCTGTGATATCCACAAAGGAAGGCACTATGGAGCTGTGGATTGTTTGTTTAGTGTGATTTTAAAGGACCTGTCCCAAGTCCTAGGTGCTCACATGTTAAAACAGACAGCACTACAAATCAGTGGTACAATCAATGTGTGTGTCCTCTCTTAGAGCACTCCCAGGAAACCACCCATCCTAAAATAATAACCAGCTCTCCCTCTTCCAGAGAGAATCAGTGGGCCTTGTAGCATACACCCAGCACCTGACTGATTGAGGTACTGAGCACCTTCAACTCTCATCAGTTTCAATGGAGAGGAGGGCACTTGGCACCATTCATCTCAGTGTCTCGGAGGACTGGGCTCCAAATATGGCCTCCATCAGATCAATGTAATGTCAAGGGTATGGCCCAGGTCATGGGAGGGGAGGAGGTTCCTTTGAAGGAAATGTCCACCAAGATCTCACTGCAGAGCTTTCCCACACTGTCTCACGGTGGGGGCAGAGTTTGCTCCTCCTCACAGGAAAGGCCAAAGGGTCTGCCTCAAACGCGGATGGCCTGGATCTGTGTGTCTGCCCTGCGGTCCTCTCTTTATGCACAGGCAGTGATTCCCTCATGCTGCCACCACCCACAAGCCTCCATCTTCTTCTGGTGGAACTTATCCATGAGTTTGGGCACCAGGTTCCTTCAGTCCCTGGCTTCTCAGCTATGCTCTCTAGCAGGGATCCCAATTAGTGCCCGCTGTAGTAGTGGTTCTGTGATCTAGACCAGCAGCCTCAAAAGTGGGGTGCACGCACCCCAGGGGGTTCACAAGACGATCCATTGTGGGGTGCGGCAGGAGGAGCACCGCCGGAGGGAAAAAAAGGGGGGGGCAACCGGAGGAGAGCCACCCGGAGATTGGCCGGAATGCCGCCCCTTACAGTGTGCCGCCCCAGGCACGTGCTTCCTGCACTGGTGCCTGGATCCGGCCCTGCGAGGTATCCTGAGGGAAGAGTGGGAGTTCCACAATGTGGAGGGGTTGACAGTGGCGCCCTCACTCGTTTGTTCGCTTTCAGCGTATTGCGATGAATTGCAGTTTACGTGTGCCCGGTTAAGTGGATTTACGGATTATATTATCTAGTTTTAACTAAACTAACCCTCACAAAATGGACAAGTGGCTTAAAAAGATTCCTGCAAAGAAACCGCGGATTGAAGAGAATACTAATAATGCGAGCACAAGCAAACAAGAAGAAAATGGCAGAGCTGACAGTTCTCCTACTCCTAGTACGAGCTCTTCGTCAGCCACATTATGAGGTGAAAACAACAACGATATAATCAGATCTGACAAGAAGTCAGCCAAAAAAATTTGAAATTATCAAGAAGACTATTTGAAATATGGATTTACATCCACTATATTAACTATGAACCTCGCCCTAAGTGTGTATTGTGCCTTGAGATATTAACTAATGATAGGATGAAGCCCTCACAATTAGCAAGACATTTAAAAACTAAGCC